GGAAGACTACTGACATCAGGATCCCCTCCTGTCCCTTTCAATCTAGAGCCCCAGCCCCCTACTGCTCGTTACTTGGGCCCCAAAAAGGAGCGCCTTGCACTGTACCTCCTGCACGCCCAGGGGCTGGTACCCGAGCACCTAGAGACCCGCATGCTGTACAGCAGTAGCCAGCCAGGCATTGACCAGGTATGAGGCTGGAGGGTCTGGAGTGGGAGACAGGGGCACACCCATCTAGGACACAGCCCAGGAGGGAAAGGAGGAACTGGGCTTTCAAAGATGCGCTTGGGCAGAAGACATGCACGCCTGCATGTTAGTAAGCAAGAAGTTCCAGTGATGCCACTTAGAACGGAGAGGGTTAGAGCTGGAAAAGTCATGTACAGGACACTGAGGCTGTGCGTCCACTGTAGGACGTGCTGAGGCGCCCTGGCAGCCAAGGCCAACCCTGCCTCAGTCTCTCCTGAGGGAGGGCAGGGCAGCAGTACCAGGTTTGATGTGCAAACATCACACATCTGGTTTGGCTACTAGTTGCAGGAACCCAGAGCAGAAGGAATAAAAATCTCAAGGGCCTTATTACCATCCACCCTCTAGCCACCAGAATGGCTCCCTTCACTCTACATTTCTCAAGCTGATACCACATTCTAGACAAAGTTCTCTACTTAGCATTTTTTAAAAAGCATTCTCACTAAACCTGTTTTCAAAACAAAAGAAAAATTAGGTCAACTTCAAAAAAATAAAAATGAGGTCAGACAGTTTGAAAGAATATGTTTCTCTTTCTTCCAGTATTGGCAGTTCCACCTCTTCCTTTTCCCCACCAGTGTCATCCCTCTTAGACCTCTGTGCTTTGTGATAGCTTCATACCCTCGGGCTGTGGTTGCACATCCTAAAACAATCTGGAAATCTGGCCTGGCAATCTAGATTACTCTGACTCAGGGCCACTAAACTGGCTAATAAATAAAAGCCGAACACCATTCTGGAGCTTTCTAGAAGCTTCTAGCATCACCTGCTAAATGGCATTAACCCTCCAGACTCGTTACAAGAGACGTCCCAACCCCATGACCATCAGCCTTAAAGTCATCATACCTACCAACCTGACTGCATCTTCTCCAGGCCAAAAAAAAAGGAAAAGGGGGAAGCTGGTGGGCAGTTGCCTGACTTCCTGTCTAAAGTCTTTCCATCTCAGATACTGTACCCCACCTCTCAGTGCTGGGAACATGGCCTCCACAGACCTAAGAACCTGGAACAGGGCTCCCCAGACCAGCACAGAAGACAGGCTAGGAACCCCTGCCAGCTAACCCATCTCTGCTCCAGGGAAAGATACAAATGTGGGTGGACATCTTCCCCAAGAAACTGGGGCCTCCTGGCCCCCCAGTCAACATCAGGCCCAGGCAGCCTACAAGGTGAGTGTGGGCGCACTTCCCTATCTCCGCACTTCCTGGGGGCAGGCACCAGGGTTCCCAGTACTGAGCAGCTGGCATCTTCCCTCTGCTGGGAATCCTGGGGACTCCCTTCCCGCCAGTGCAGCATGAGTGTGGGCATGGAGGGTGGCCACCCAGGCCAGTCCCCCTCACCGAGGCTGCTGCTGGGCAGTGAGTCCTTGGCAAAGCCTCAGGGTGCCATGGCCGCAGGTATGAGCTGCGCTGCATTATCTGGAAAACTGCTCACGTGGACCTGAAGAGTGTCAATTTGAGTAACGAGAAGATGAGCGACATCTACGTCAAAGGGTGAGGCAGAGGTGCAGGGCTCCAGCACAGCTCCCCAAGTCCTGTTCTAGCTTTCCCGTGGGTCCTCCTCGTCCTGGGGTGACATCTCCCCACTTTCACTGCACCTGGCGTCCACTGGGCGGCCCTTCCCAAAAGGCTCCAGCTCAGGACTGGGGACAGTGCACATGAGCCCAGGTGAGAGGACTCTGACCCCAGGTGGCTATTCGGGCTAGAGAAGGACATGCAGAAGACAGACATCCACTACCAATCCCTGACTGGCGAGGGCATCTTCAACTGGCGGTTCATCTTCACCTTGGACTACCTGGTGGCTGAGCAAATGTGCGTCCTGAGTGAGAAGGTAATGAACGTGGAGGTGGGCTTCTCTTCCTGCCCCTCCCTTCAGAGACTTGCAGTTGCACCAGAACACTTGGAATGAGGCCTCGGCAGAAGCCCTCTTCCTGGACAGTCCATCACGCTAGGTGTGGGCTCCTCTGAGGGCCAAGGGGACTCTCCTAGGAGAGTGGCGGTGACACACTCCTTTGCCATCCTTCAGAACTACATATGGAGCCTAGACCCCATGGTGATGAAGTTTCCGGCCCGGCTCATCATCCAGATCTGGGACAATGACATCTTCACCACTGATGACTTCCTAGGTGAGCTACTGGCCTAGGGCCTATTACCTCAGGACAGGGAGCTCCTTTGTGCCGACTGCATCTCTCTTGGCTCAGGGGTCCTAGAGCTGGATCTGTCTGACATGCCCTTCCCGGCCCAGCACCCAAGCCTGTGCTCCATCAGGATGATGGATGCTGACCCCAAGTGGCCCCACCTCCTCCAGCACAAGCGCTTCTCCCTCTTTAAGAAGAGGACTGCAACCGGCTGGTGGCCTTGCCAGGTCCTCGAGGACGGCAAGTGGCGCTTGTCGGTAGGAACTGGGGAAGGTGTCTACTGCACAGGACTGCTGTGTCCCATCACTGGCTCTAAATCCCTGGGGGCCGTACCTAAATCCCTCTCCCTTTGTGGGTCCTGGGAAGAGGTTCCTGCGACCATAACTCAGCCTCCCACCCCTTGCGGTGTTTCTAGGGTAAAGTGAAGATGACACTGGAGATTCTGTCCGAGGAGGAAGCCTTAATCAGGGCAGCAGGACGTGGCCAGTCAGAGCCCAACCAATACCCTACACTCCACCCTCCCCCGTAAGGCTCCTTATTCAGAAAGCCGAGCTGCTGAGCCTGGCCGTATACCCAGGGTGGTGGCCAGTAGCCACAAGTGGAGGGGTAGTGACTTCCCACACCTCAGCTCAATGCTGTCACAGTCGGGAGAGAACAGCCAAGGGGAGAGGGGGAGATGGGGCAGAAGTTGCTTTTTAAAAAAGAAAGGTCTTTGCTTTGGAAAACTTGATCTGAAGGTCCCCTTTGTCCTCCATTCTCGGACTCAACGCTCATGGACAGGCGCACCAACACCTTGCTCTCATGGTTTCAGTCACCTATTAGAAACTTCTGCTATGTTTTCTGGAAACGCTACCGCTTTAAAATCATAATCATGTCAATCATATTGATTATCGGGCTTATGCTGTTCAGCTTCATGTACTCAGCTCCGGTGAGTGATGCCCCTGGGGACAGGGACAGAAGCACTGGTTGCTCTTGGGCTGCCTCTGGAGAGAGCCTCTGGTTGCTACCTTCAGCTGACTGTTGCCTATTCCCTCTAGGGCTATTTGGCCATGAGCTGGGTCAAACCTGAGCTTCGGCTGACTGCACCTAAGAATATGTTCACCAATATCATCAATTCACTGAACACCAAAAAGGCCAGCTCTTCCAACCTCACTACCCCACGTCCTACCCTAGAGTCTACAACAGGCCATCAGCTGAAACTCCTGCAGGAACACATGAATCACCTGCGACATATTTTTCCAGAACTCCCAGCCCCACAAGGCTAATTTGGCCAGGTTTGCCTGGCTTTTCTTTGCCCACTGTCAGCCCTAACCTAGAGCTTCTTGCTAATTTCTTATTTCTATCTTCTAGGACAGCAAGGGGCTAGGGATATTCTGGCCATTCTGCTGAGAAACCACTTCCATCAAGAAAGGCAAAGCTGTAATTTTCCACTGAAATAAACAAGCTTTGTAACAAAGCCACTTTGTAATTTGGGGGCCAAGGGGGGGGGGTGTTGAAGACCATATGAAAGGCCAGCCTTTCGGACAAGACTCCCAGGGACAGGAAGCAGTGTCGCCTTTGGCACTACCTCCATCTTCTGTCTCTTCCACATGAAGAGGCTCTGAAGTCAGAGGGAAACAGAGGGAAAGGGTGGCAGTGAGGAGAGAATGGCCCCGTGGGGTGAGCTACTGGAGCCACACCACGAACCCTCCTCCAGGACACACCTGCGATGCAGTGGCCAGAACAATATCCAGCCCCATTTACGGGGGCAAACATTTGTTTCCAGGACAAAATACAAGAGCTAGGATAGAACACCCCATGTCTAGTCAGAAGGTGGCCCTGCACCTGAGCTGAAATCACACAAAACCCACAAATCTGCATTCACACTCACGTGCTTCCCCTCAGGAGCCCACCTAGGTCCTCCACCACAGGGGCCTATCCAATCTCCCCTTGACCTCAAAGAAGACAAAAGAACCATTTACTTTTTCAGTTCTACCTGGTCCTAAGGCCAAGCTCTCGATCAGTTGGTCCCCTGGCAATTTGGAGCTGCTCTACTGTGGTGGGGAAGGTGTTAGGCAGATCCCACCTTAATCCCACCTGCAGGGGAGTGTTACTGCCTGTGATGCCTAATTAAGCACCTGGAAGGCTATAAGCCAGCCCGAGAGGACAGAGACCGTACCCAGCCAAGGAGACCCTCCTTTCCTTCTGGGTTGAGCTGAGGATTTCACAATGGAGGGAAGGCAGAGCAAGGACTGACGGGCTCAGCAAAAAGGCCTGGAGCCTTCCTAAACCCACGCCCAGAAGGAAGAACACGAGTCAGAAGCTCGGGTTGGGTTTCCATCAGCCATTTTACGAATCTCCCTTAGGCTACAGAAGTACAGGCTAGGAGAGCTCAGCTCTGGGCCCTCTATCAACCAATCTCATCACAGGCAGATGGGTGAGTATCGCGGTGTGTGACCCCTTGTCCAATAGGCAGTGAATAAGGGCTAATCCCTGGAGGATGACACTCAGGCTCTATTGCTCAATGACAATGAACTCTTCCAGGCACAGATGACAAGGGCCTATTGACCCAGATTTGCAACACGAGAACAGCAACTTACTTATCCATTAAGAAAAAGAAGCCCGATTTCCTCCTGGGGAGTATCCAGGCCGAGACTATAAGAAAAAAGTTTTCTTACATTTTGAACACTCAAAGTAGGATTCCAAAGACCATGACAGACACAAAACATGCAGCTAAGCAGGCTCCAGTTGGTCCAGAAACATCTTCATGTGGTCGGGTCACTCAGCAAATGTTGCTTCTGGTGTCAAAACCTGGAGCAGGTCAGTGTCACAGTTCAGCCCACTCATCCACGGGATCTTCCAAGCTTCTCTTGACTTGCACACCAACTTCCAGCCAAACAAGACTGAGGGCTGAATGGAAGGGCCTCATTGGGAAGATCACAAACACGCCAACAGATCCAGGATCCACACAGACAAGCAAAGGCTAGAGCAGCGGGCCAAAGCAGAAAGCCTTCCCTGTGGACACCTAATGAGGGTCAGTGCAACATGTTTGTTCTGCAGCCCTGGCTCCGACAGACAGGCATGGAAGGTCTTCTCGATCTCAGGCTGCATGTGAAGAGGACAGTAAAAGGAGGGAGAAGTTTCCACCCAGATTTCCAAGGAGAGCTGCTCAGGTGGACAGAGGCTTAGACAAAAGTAAAAACCAATGAATGGATGGAGGGAAGGTATGAGGAGTTTTCCATTCTTTGCAGATTTAAGTGAGAAGCACGGGGGTCCTGAGTCCAACACCAAGGCATCCTGGGTTATGAAGTTCTTTTCTGTGATCTTGGCATCATACCAGGAGATCCTATCTCCACCCTCTGAGCTCCCAGTGGACGGACTGCAGGGAAAGGCACTTCACAGCAGCATTGCCCTGGGGTGGGTGGGCTTCCTGAACCAGAGTCAGAGGTCCTCACAGATGACCATGGGAATACAGTGTCCCTGAACTCAAAGCTCCAGTGACAGAACACAGTCCCTGACCGGCTGCTGAAGAATGGAGAAGACCACTGGGCTGTGTGGTCAGGCCAGCGCCTGTCCCTCCCACACCTCATGGGGACAGCCACAGCGGAGGTGGCGGCAGGAGGGCTCAGTAGAAACGCTTCCGGCTCTGTTCCTGCCACTTGTTGTACAGTATGATCCCAATGACAATGGCAAACACGGAAAACACCAGAGAGAAGAAGACAATGAGGAAGAGAGCCAGGCCACTTAGGGGCGGCAGCGGGGCTGTCACTGAGGAAGCAAGAGAGAAGCAAGTCAGCCCCTGGGAGCCTACCCATTAGGAAAGACCACCAACAAGCTAAAGCCCCCAGGTTCCAGTGCCCATTCTGGGAGACAGAACTCAGACTCTCCCTTTCCAGATGCTTTAATCCAAAAACGAAGCCGCCGCCTCCTGCTCATCTGTAACCTGAAGACAAGTGACAAGAGGTGCCAGTGCTCCATATCCCTCCGGGAAAGGACAAAGGAGACAGCCCTGCGAGCTGTGGGTGAGGTCCCCTGGCCCGCCCCAGCACTGCAACCTCCCACTGTGGGCCGTTTCCCAGGGTCCCCATGCTCACGCTCAGGCAGCTTCATGTTGTCCACCGAGGGCAAGAACACGTCTCGATGCAGCTTCTCCTCTTCTGGGGTTCTCTCCACCGTCAGCTCAAATAACTTCAGGGAAATGATGTCATGGTTGTCTAAAGGAAAAAGTACTGCTCAAGCCCCCTCAAAAAGAGGTATCTTGGAGTATCTTGGCTCAAGCTTTCGATTCCACAGCTAACTAGCAGTGACCTTAAAAAAATAATTGCAACCTGTTTTCTCATCTAAAAACAAGGATAAGAAACAGGAATATTCTACATCATTCTACAATATTATAGATAGATAGATAGATTTCAGAGAAAGATATAAACATCAATGATGAGAATCATTGATTAGCTCCTCCTGTACACCCCACACTGGGGATCGAGCCCACAACCCAGACATATGCCCTGACCGGGAATTGAACCCTGACCTCCTGGTTCATAGGTCAATGCTCAACCATTGAGCCATGCTGGGCAAGCTCTCTCTTTTTAAAGCATCATTATAAACTCATCAATTCAAACACATTTGACGTGTTTCAATACACTGAGGATGTACATCTTACTGATGCTCAACTCCACCCATTTTGTTCCAGTGGGAGCCTATGCAAGTTGGTTTCTGAGTCTTTTTTCATGAACCCAGTAGTTTTTTAAGATTTTTTTTTATTTTATTAACTTTTTTTTCTTTTAGAGAGAGAGGAAAGGAGAGGCAGGGAGAGAAAAGGATGTGAAAGCATACCCCCTACGGAGGATCGAGCCTACAACCCAGGCATGTGCCTTCACTGGGAATCAAACCAGCAACCTTATAGTGTACAGGATGACATTCAACCAATTGAGCCACACTGGCCAGGGCCCAGTAATTCTTGGTATCTTCCTTGCTTTTCTGGAAAGTTCCCACTTATACACTTCTTGCCATAGATCTGCCATTTCTCCAAGAAGCTCCTGTTCCTCTCAGTGGAGACTGGTATTGAGAGACCACAAATCTGAATGCCAGGGAGGTTATGGCTACTTGGTTGGATTTTTTGCCATTTCTATTACTAGGATGGCATCTATACCTGCTTAGACTTAGAATGTTAGCAGACTCTTAGCAAACCCTGAAAAACTGGATTTGCCTTCAATGAGGTGTTTTTGCTGTCAGGACTGAGTGGGAGCCATGGACAGAATAAAAAGGAGGGCACTGCTCCTCATAATGTGGGGCACCAATGACTGAAACGGCTGGAGTGTACCCCACTTTCTGAGCCATTTAAATACCCACTGCCTAACAGTAAGAAGGTATCAACAAGAAAGACCTTAAGAGAAAGACAATTTCGGCAGTAGTCCCTCTCCCCTTTGGGGGCCAGGGAGGGGACCGGGTTGTGTCCGCCATGTTGGTGAAGGCAAAGGAAGGCGACTGGCACTGCGGGACTGACGGCTCTGCGGGCTCAAGTCGGCCATATTCATAAAGAGGGAAGGTGGATCCCTACCCCCGACACACACACATCCGCACCCCTGCTGCCCAACCCACCCCACGACTCTGCTCGGCTGGCCCCGTGTGGCTGTCAGCGCCTCAGGACGGGCTCACGAGGGCGCCAAATGAGGGGGGAAGGGACATGCCGACCAATTGCATCGCTGGCCCCGTGTGGCCGTCGGCGCCTCAGGACCGAGGGCGCCAAATGAGGGGGGAAGGGACATGCCGACCAATTGCGCCGCGGCGGGCTGTGCCACTACCTACAACAAGTACATTAACATCAGCTTCCACAGGTTTCCTTTGGATCCTAAAAGAAGAAAAGAATGGGTTCGCCTGGTTAGGCGCAAAAATTTTGTGCCAGGAAAACACACTTTTCTTTGTTCAAAGCACTTTGAAGCCTCCTGTTTTGACCTAACAGGACAAACTCGACGACTTAAAATGGATGCTGTTCCAACCATTTTTGATTTCTGTACCCATATAAAGTCTATGAAACTCAAGTCACGGAATCTTCTGAAGAAAAGTAACAGTTGTACTCCAACCGGACCTTCTAATTTAAAATCAAACATTAATAGTCAACAAGTGCTACTTGAACACAGTTATGCCTTTAGGAATCCTATGGAGGCAAAAAAGAGGATAATTAAACTGAAAAAAGAAATAGCAAGTTTAAGAAGGAAAATGAAAACTTGCCTACAAAAAGAACGCAGAGCAACTCGAAGATGGATCAAAGCCACTTGCTTGGTGAAGAATCTAGAAGCAAATAACATATTACCTAAAGGCACATCTGAACACATTTTACCAACTGCCTTAAGCAGTCTTCCTTTGGAGGATTTCAAGATTCTTGAACAAGACCAACAAGATAAAACATTACCAATTCTCTAAATATAAACCAGATCAAGAGTGCTTTTATTTAAGATTAGCCTGCACACAAAAAGAAAAAAAAAGATTAGCTTGCATCGATCTTGATGCCCATCATTTATTCTATTCAAAGGTAAAGATATTTAAGGAAATAATGCCAAAATTGGGTATTTAATAAAGTTTTACTTAAAAAAAAAAGAGAAAGACAATTTCTATTTAGGGACATTCTATGGGTAGAGAACACAGACTCACTAACCTAGGCATTACCACCAAAAACCTAGAGCAAAGGACTCCTTAGGACAAACAAAAAATGACTGTATTCTCTTTGGTCATTTCTAACAGTTGGGAACAATTTCCCATTGAAAAGTGCACCAGGAAGTTAACTGACAGGTCCTAGAAACATGTAAGCTTAAAGGAAAATGCAAAGAGGACATTTCAACTTGAAACACATAATAAGATTACCTAGCAAAGATCTAAAGCTTGTGCCTCCTGTGCCTGGGCCCAGGGGAGCTCTGCCCACGCCTCAGCCTTCTGCACAGTACTCAGCCCCTGGTTGCCAGGGCAGAGCAGGTGAGGGCGGAGCTGAAAAGGGGCACTGGGACTTCTCGAAGTGATGGAAACGCTCTGTGTCTTGACGATGGAGGTCATAACACAGGTGTAAATATTTGTCAAAACTCTTCCAACTATGTACTTCTGTTGTATGGAAAGCACATCTCAATAAAGTTGATTTTTTTTTTTTAAGCCATGATTTTAAAAATCAGATTTCATTTTAAAAATCCAGATTCCCAGCTTCTCTTGAAAAACTGACAGCATGGCCTTACCGAGCCCGCATTTGCTCTTGGCCACAACGCTGGAACCAAGCAGCTGTTGCTCATTTCAGATGGGTGTTTGCCTTTCCCTTTTGCCAGAAGAAAATTCTATTCCTATTGGCTTTATTCATAATAAATTATGTCCAAAAATTCCAAAAGTTTGGTTCTTTACCTCTTCTCAAATGACGTTATGATTGGGACTGGAGCCAAGGGGAGAACAAATGGGGACAAGGAGAAAGAAAGTCGAGGGGACAGGAAAGAAAAGCAGCAGGTACTGTCAGCAGCACAGACCTTCAGGGCACATGGTCAAAAGAGCTGACGAGAGGACAAAGAGCGAGGACTGAGAATAGAGTGTCACGCAGGCAGAGAGAGTGCTAATGCACAGTTGAGACATGGGTCCAGGGCAGTGTGTTCAGAATGGAATGGCTGGAAACGGGAGCATCTCTACACATGAAACCCAGAAGTCTGAGCATAAAGCAGGGCCTGGGAGCCAGTCAAGGGGGACAGCAGAGTCACGAAGAAGCCTTGTTCAGAGAAGGAGAACTAAACACGTTAGGAGTGGGAGGGAGGAAGCAGACTAGAAAGGTGGCAGCAGAGTCAGAAAAGTGCAGAGCTCAAAACACAGGCTGGAGAGCTGGCTCCTTGAAGACGCAAACACTACTTTCCCGTAGCTCCAACTATCTCCCAGGACCGCTGTCTGAGGCCAGCCTAAGCCTGGGGTCTTAAGGAATCTGGGTATGAGAATGCAGGAAGATAAGCACTCCCAGGGCACCTGCTTCCCAAAGTCCTGCTTGTCTGGCTCTCCCCTCTGAGAAGCTTCACCAAGGCCTGGCCACTGAGACACGGCCTCAGTCAGGGCAAATGAGAAGTGCAGTGGTAGTACCTGAGAGATCCCCGGTGATGGAGGAGGTGCCAAAGTAGTAGCCCCGGGGCAGGCGGACCCCGGGCACCTCAATGCAGTCCCTCCACTCATGCTTGCCGTCGATGTCCATCATTACCTAGAATAAAAAGAAGAGAGAAATCAGGGCCAGGCCCCAGGAGCAGGAGCCAGACAGCCCATACTGCCAACTGGTCCAGAACAGGGACTCACCGTCAAATGCCTCTTGACATAGCGAATCACAAGGAAGGTGTCATAATGGAGATTGCGGACAATGGCCGTACAGCCCCCCAGCTCTGTTGGCCGCCCGTCCCGCTCATGATCATAGCTGAGGGAGCCATTGTTCACCATGGCTGAGATGTAGGGGAACACCCGCTAGGAAGGCAGGGAAGGAAAAGCAGAGGACAATGAGGAAGTGCAAAGAGCAAAGAGCAACAAGAACTATGCACATACAAGCTGAGCACCTTACAGAGACCAGACAATAGCCCAGCCTCATCATTAACAACCCGCTAGAACCCACACTCAAGTAATATGGCCCAGGAAGCGACTAACTCTGTCCTTGTCTTCAAGGATCCTCCTTGCTACATGTCTGGGTGGGTCTGACATGGTCCCTCTAAGGCTCTAATCTCCTCCCCGAGAACACCATTTGCACTGTTCCTCTGCTCCACACTAGTGGCTTTTTGTGTTTATGTACCTATCTACCCAACTGCCATGTAAACTCCTTTAAGAAAAAATAACTTGTTATGCTTTTTT